CAACAAAGACATAAGATAAGGTTCGCAATTCGTAGAGATATAGATAAGATAAGCAAAGGCAATTGAGAAATGGGAATAGATAAAAAGAGTTCTATCATTTTTCATTGAACCGCACCGACACTCATCATACGATCATCATTATAATTATAATTATTATCATCTGGATGGATCATGGACAAGTAGCGCTCAAAGCTGAAACGTGACATTTACAACGAGCTCGGGGATTGTGTAAAAAGAGGCCGAGGACGTTCGCGATAGAGAGAAATGTTGTAACAACAAGAAGAGCGTGGGCAAGCACAAAAAAATAAAGAAGAAAAATAACCAATGGTTAGTTTGGAATTTTCATTCTGTAAAGTCATGGTCGAGGTTATTTTTTTTCTTTTTCTGTTTGTTGGGTGAAAAACTGAAGCAGAGTCTAAAAGAATTAAACGCAAAGCCGCAAGAATTTGTCACTTTAATAAGCGCATTTGGGTTCACATTCTTTTAGACATTTTTTTTTTTTTTGTGGTTTGTATGATTTGAAGTTTTTTTTCTGTCTGGTTTAGGCCAATCGCAGCACGGCGAAACGTGTTCAAATTTATATGCAGCTTAGCGGCTCGGGTAATTTATGCACAGCATGCTCATATTTGTATTATTATGGCTTATGAATCCGTATGGCTCGTATAAACCTAATAGAGCCATCAATGGGGCCATAAAACTAGAGCTGCCAGATAGCCAGCCAGGGAGACAGCCAGCCGAGCCAAGCTGTCAAGCTGTTCTGGCCAAGTGGCAGCTGCCACGCCCAGCAGCAGCAGAAGCAGCGCAACGGAGCCAAGCCCCGTCTAGTCGATGTGGCGGCACAGTCAAAAAAAAAAGAAAGCAACCCACAGAACTGTAAATTGGGTGGCAAACAGCTGACTGACTGGAAGACTGACTGAAAGACTGTCTGATTGACAGTCTGTTTAAGGCAATTTGGCAGCGTCTTTATCGACTTTTAATTCGCTGCACAATTTGCATATATTTTCATTCTTAAGACAAAGGCGCTAAGGCAGCAATCGATCCCCAGCAAAAGGAAGCCCAAAACGACAACAACAAAAACTGCGGACGACAACGAGCTGCGAAAATTACTTGTACTTGAGCGGAATTTACAATGCACTTCTTGGCCAGGCAGCGCACAGTGGTGCGAGATGTTTAATAAACCAAACAAAACAAATATCGATAAAGTCAATCGATAAACGATAAACGAACCAAAACAAACGATAAGTCAGATGCAAAAAAATATAATATATTATTAGTAAATTACACACTTTTATTATTTTTCTCTCTTTTTTAAGTTCTCTATAAATAATAGATAAATGCAGGGTCAACAATTTGGCAAGTTCATTTTGAATTTTATAAAAACCTTTTCATTTTCACTTACAACTTTTTTTTATTTCATGATCTTTTGTTCTGAATAACTCATATGACAAATTTTACATGAACTTCGGGTTCTGGGCAAACACAAAGCTAATCTACGGAAAAATCTTGTTTGTCTCTTTCAAAAAAAAAAAGAAAGGTATATAAAAACGGGTGAAAAATAAACTAATATAATATACAATATTATTCTGCAAGCCAATATTTAATGGTTTATAAAAGAGAGAAAAATAAAGCAATATAAAATACAATTTTATCAATTTAATGATTTCTGAAAGGACTTGCTTTAAGGGTTTATAAAACACACATATTTTAAACTGTTTTAAAAAGCAGAAAAGCAAAAATAAAATGTTAAATGTAAATGTTAGCTAAGATTCCAATTTTTGAATTATTTAAATTCCAATAAAATAAAAATAATATATCGTTAATCATGAAAAATGACGAAAATTTCTTTGTCGCTGTTGAGTCAAGTGTTATTAGCAACAAATTTAGATGCATTGATTAATTTTGAACAGTTTTGAACGTATTTTGAGTCACTGTGCAATCAGGCTGAGGCTGTTTAGCAGCTGCATAAGCACGGGCACACACACAATGGATTGTCATTGATATTTTGGAACTCTCTGGAGTACAGAGAAAGAGGCGCGTGTTTAACCACTCGTACTTCGCCCTTAGTCACTTTGGGGGTATGAATCACGCAATGCTGATCCATCGGGCAATACTACGAGAGGCCTCAGCAGCGGCTGGCTCTTTATCATATGCAAAACAATTTTCCTTGTCCGCTTTCATTGAGAAACGGCACAAATTAAGCAAATTTATTTTGCCCTGTACTAGAGGCACGAGCAAAAAATATATATATATAGCCACGTACTATATATATATATATATATTCCACATTGGAATCGGCGACGTCGCGCAATAACAAAATATTTTAGCGAATTAAAAGAAAATTGCCTCATCCGACAGAGGCTGTCGCGTCTGTCTGGATATATAATTTGGATAGATGTAACTATGCAGCAGCCAGTTTACAAGGCAAATCAGCCAAGCCATGAGTCATACTTGAGTAAATCAACTAACAAGGTTCTAAAAGCTAACTAACTAGTGTGTGGGGGGAGGAGGAGTAGGAGGGGTGTGTAACTATCAATTAAGACAAGGTTTCTTAAATCAAGCAAGTGCATTTCTCTTGACTGATCAAGGCATATTATATGATAATTCCGGAAAATTCCTCTATCAAATAATTGTACAAATTAGATATTTGTTACCTCTTGCTTTTAGTTTTCTTATCATCAATTATTATACTTTTATAATAAATAATTTTGCATTTTGATGTCACATATAAATTTATCATTAATATAACTTTTCTGTTGGGTTTCTGGAAGATTCTGGTCTATACGAACTCGCATTCAGCATTTCAGAGTTTTACTTCCTGTAAACTCTGAGATTGAGGCTTTAAGAGTTATGATTCATATCCATGATTTGAGAATGTTTAGGAAATTGTAATTAACTTTAGCATTCCAAAAGTCTGCTTGGAAATTCAATAAATAACTAAACTATTTATGACTTTTTTGTTTATAAAGATGCAGTTTCTTTGCAACTACATTTTTCTGATAAACTACAAATAGTTTTTGCGTGATGCAGAGAAATCGTTGGGGAATTACGTTCAATATGCCTTGTGGCTTAAGTCAAAGGTAGAAGATACGAAGATACAAGATATATACTATTTTATTAGAAACTTTAAACATATAACCTATTCAAATTACAAACCAGCGACCTCTTTTCTGTATACAATTTAAACCAGCGACCTCTCTCTAGTATGCGTAAAAGAGGTCGCTGGTTCAAATTCAAGGGCAATTTATAGTTCTTATACTATTAATTTTATTCAATTTGTATGTAGGTTTAGCTTAGTTTTGTTTATGTATACAAAAGAGAAGTCGCTGGTTCAAATCCAACAGCAATTATCGATATTTATGGCTTTTATTTCATTCAATGTGATTTCTCATAAGCATTAAAGCAGTAATAAAGAGTTAGGACAGAAAATTCATCAATATTATCAAGTATGGGTTATCTTTGTAAGGGGTATCTAAAAGTCCCGCATGCCGCCCACTTACTTGCAACAGTTCAGGCACAATTTAGGCCCCGTTGCAGTGCCCATGCTGGCTGTAGCTGTGGCAATTGCTGTTTGAGCCATTCATCAAATGGCAAATTAGAAATTCTTTTGGCGTTGCAGCGCGGCAACCTTTGTAGGCGGCACGTGTCGCCGCCGATGACGTTATGACAGCAGCTGCGCCACGCCTGTTGCCAAGTGAGACGTCATCGGACAACTTTGTTGTTTGTTTTTGTTGTTGACAGGAAGCGCCACTGCGCCAAGCCAAAGTAATAAAGAGAAGAAAAAAATATGAAAACAGAGGAACCCAAAAACCAGGAACAAGATCTATGACAAAAGATGCGCTAAGCACAAACTAAGCAGGGCAGGCCGCAGACAGCAACAACTCGGCGCCCGGCTAGTTAGAAGGATGCGTAAACTAATCTGAAAAGTGTGCCCAGGAAAGGACAGCAGGCAGCCAAAGGCAAACACAGCCTACATCCGGTGGAAGCACACACATACGCAAAAAAAAAAGAAGAAAAAAAAGAAAGAAAACTTATATGAAAAAAACCCAAAAATTTAAATGAATAAACGCGCTCACAGAAAAAATAAAAAAGATAAACAGATGAGACATATGCCAAAGATATCAAATTTATATTAAAATATATATGACAAGAGAGAATATTAAATACCCTAACAAATAAAGGAAAGCGTGAATTGTCAGAAAGTTATACTTTTTTACAGATTTTAACTGTGGTATATGTAGGATATAGTTTTGAAAGCTGGATACATTTTGTTAAATATTAGGAGTTTAATAAAGCTTAAAATTGTTAAATTAAGCCTAAATTTCTGTTAAAATAAAAAGCTTCATCAACAAAAACTCCTTATTTTTATTGGTCAAAAGGTTGCTCTTTGATATGGTATTTTGATCTGAACAAAATGAATACATAATAGGACTCGTAATTGGTGATTTTATCCCTAAAAAAGATGATTAATTCATTCCGACTGATAGTTGCTATGGCAGCTGAAGGGTATATAGTAGTTATCCGATTCGGCCAAGTCGAATTAATACACTTTTGAAAGCAATAAGAAGCATATGTACGAAGTTTTATGAAGACAGCTTTACTGTGAGCTTAGTTCACATAGATTGTTGAAATGAAACAATGCCAAATGGAGTTAGAAGTTGACTTCATATAATACCTGGTCATTTCCTATATATATGATATATATGTATATATATACTTGCTTAAGCAAAAGGAAGCTTCTGTACAAGTCTAACGGAAAAAGCTTCAATGGCAGCTCAGTTGACATAGGCACAGGCAGAGTTTAAACTTGACTTGACTGTTATTGATGCTGAACAAGAATATATAAACTTTAAGGTATGCCTTTTATCAAGCTGAATAAGAATCTATATAATTGAAGGTATGCCTGCTGCTACTCGCTTGTTCATAGATATATAATACCCTGAGGTAAGTGTATTGGAGGTGCAGGGGCCAGTTGGACTTTAGCTTAGAACGTTTTCTCTCACCTGTCGTGTCCATGTAAACAATTAACGTGGCAAAGACCAGCGCAAACGAGAGCAGGCACAGGAAAATGGGCAATAGCTGGCGATACGGTGACGGGCTGAAGCGCGGATCAAGTTTCTTGCTCTTGAAGGAGCTGCCGGCGGCGGCGGCGGCGCCACAGCCCGCTGCAGCAGCGGCCGCAGCATGATGATGATGGTGATGATGATGATGCTGCTGCTGATGTTGCTTCGGCTGGTGGCGACTCGACTGCTGATGTGGCTGGTGTGTGGCTCCGACTGTTGCTGCTGCTGCTGCCGCTGCCGACTGCTTGTGGCAGCAATGCGGATGGCTGTGCTGCAGCTGCAGCTGCAACGGCGCCGTTCGCGTGGGCGTCGACTGCGCCGAGGAGACAGTGCTAGCCGAGGGCGAGCTCAGTACGCTGCTCAAATCGCTAATGGAACCAGTCAGAGCTGTCGCCGAGGCGGCCAATCCAGCACTGGCGCCCAGTCCGCCTCCGCCTCCCCCTCGGTCCAGTTGTTTGTGTGGCATTTGTCGGCTGTGGCGCTTGTGGCGCAACTGCACATGGTCCGTCTCATCGTAGCCATTGTCTTTGGTTGTTGTTGCTGTTGTTTGCCTCACAATCGGCTGCGGCGTTTGCTGCTGCGGCGTTTGCTGCTGCTGCTGCTGCACGCCAAAGTTGACATCGTCAACATCCTCGCACTCGATGTCATCATCATCGTCCACCGCCGCCAGATTTGTTCGCGTCGGCTGCGTTTTGCGCGTGTGGCACGATTCGCTGCCGCCAACTGTGGCTGCTGTCGTTGGAGTTGCCTCTGCTGCTGCTGCGGCGGCTGCTGCTGCTTTGGCTGCCGCTGCTGCAGCTGCTAGCGCCGCACAGCTTCTGCTTAGTGTGTACTTTTTGGGCGTGACCTTCCGCCTGCTGCTGCCACTTGTGGCAACTGTGGAGCTGCTCGGCGCTGCCAGCTGCTCAGCGGCCAGCGCTGGATGCGCCGAGTACACTTGCTGTGACATGTTTAACAAAATCTGCTGCTACTCTCTCGGGTTGCTCTCGCGTCGCTTCTGCTTCTTCCGCTGCTCCTGCTCCTGCGTGTCCTGTTTAGCTGGTTAGCTCCTCCGTTGGCTGCTGTGGCTAATGCCGCGTTTTCTGCATCCTGGCAACCACACGACTGCAAAAGAGTAGAGAATCCAATTAGTTTTGAGTGCTTGGCTTAAGAGCTGTTAACTTAGTTATGGCGACTTAAGGTTACCCTATAATTGTTGAGAGAATATATTTTATTTTTACATATAACATATTAATTATTATAATTTAACTACACCAACCAGATTTAGTCGCCCATATTGTTTGCTTTGCTTGAGCCAAACGCTTTTCATAAAATACCAGCCTTGATATTTACACGCATTTTCCGCTAGTTACGGTGAAATTGTAATAATCCAGACAAAGCTTCAGACAGACTCATTTTCATAACTTTGAACTTTCATCCGACATATTTTCATTCAAATGCGTGAGTTTTTAAAAATAATTAATGAGTTTTTGCATAAGATCTTTAAACAAATTAAGAGTCTATCAAATGAATAAACGAAAAAGTGCATAAATCCGTATTTCACGCATTTTTCACAGTTGAAAGTGGATTGAAAACACAAAATAAGTAAAAAACTTAAATTTTGGTGGATAAATTTGATTTTATGTGCATAAGAACATGGAATAAAAAACAATTTTTTATTCATGGATACAAAAGAAAAACAAATAAAATTATTTGAAATAGAAATAATTATTGCAATTTTAGGAATTAAAAAATTTAATTGAGTAAACTGAATGGTATGAATGGTTATAAATTTGTTTATTAATTCAGGAAAGTTCCCAAAAAAAAATATTTAAAAATGATTAATCAATAATAAAAATATTAAAATAAATTCGAAATCTTGTGCCAACTATACATACCCTATCCTAACTAAATGACACAGGGCATATACATATAAAAACTAATTTGGTAAAGTGCATTGAACTGAATTCAAAATTGAACTGAGCTCAGAGCCTTTTCAGCATCCTTCGAGCATGTGTGTGATTGAGTGTGTGTGTGTGTGCCATTTGGTAATCTTTTGTTAGCTGTCTGCTCGGCTGCTGTCTGAACTCATTTGCTGTTTTATGAATAGGCAAAAATACATTCAGAAGAAGAAAAAAAAATGTTGAACACACACCAAAAGAAGAAGAAAACGAAACGCAGCAGCAGAGAACCCGAAAAAAAACAACAAAAATATGAATATAAAGAAAAACTCAACAAGAGCCCAAGAGCAAAAGTCGTCGCCGGCGACGGCCCAAAAGAAATTGAATACAAACTGCACCACCTGTCAAAAATCGAGCGACGAGCACCGCCAGACGGTGGTGCAGTTGGAATAGCAGAGTCTTTAAGTGTCGGTGAAGGAGGGGAGAGAGAGAGACATGGGGGTGAGGGAGAGAGGGGCAACTGAGACGAAACGAGGCGATTGCTAAAGAATTTCAACAACAACGCGCGGTATTTTGTGAACCAAATTAAAAAAGACACAGAGCCAGCCGCAAGAGAGGCAAGCGAGTAGAAGGGGGAGTAGCTGTAGCAGAGGCAGGGGCAGGGGCAGAGGCAGAGGCAAGGGCAAGAGTGGGGGGGGGGGGGGATATTGCAGCGAGGCATGAGAATTATAAATGAAAAACATTGACGCGCAGCAGAGGGCAAAGCGCGAGAGAGAGAGATGAATGAGGAGTTAGGGCAATGGGGAGAGAGGGGCGAGGGGAGTTGGAGCACAGCAGTAGAGAATGTGGAGGAGTAGGCACACGGGGCAGGCAGGCAGGCAGGCCAAAGCAGCAGTAGTTGCTGCTGCCAGTTGTACTCGCTCGTTACACTCGTCTTTGGTACTTGCTGTGCGCCTGCGCAACAGACGCTGTGCGAGCGAGACAGCAAATGCAAGAGCGGGAGAGAGTGAGAGCGTGAGCGAGAGGAAGAGCCAAACGAATCGAGTTCATCAACTGTGGCAGGCACAGCAGATGTTTTTCCAATGTTTGGGCGGCTGTTGCCTGGTCGCGTTTTTTTCTCTGCTTCTTCTTCTACTTCTACTCTCTCGACTCGCCCCTCTGCTTGCTTCTGTTGTTCTGCTGTTATTCATTCTGCTTCTTGTCTGCTGCTCGTTTTTGCTTTATGAACCATAACGTCTTCCAGCTTGGGTTTTTTTCTTTTTCTGTGTTTTTTTTTTTTTTTTTTTTGTTGGCTCCTTGCAGCGGCTGCTTGAGGCAAGGCTGACCGAACGGGCCAACGATACCCGTCGCCGTCATCATTTTCAGCCCGCGAGCCATTTGCGCATTCATTTGACCATTACGCGTGCGCTCCTGCTCCCAGACCCAGACCCAAAGCCAGTCCAAGTCCGAGTTCCAGTCGGAGCACCCGTGTCTTGTATACATATATGTTTTGATTTGCTGGAATTTATTGAAACATATAGCCAAAGCCGTTGCCAGACCTGTGATTAAATGCAGTTTTTGCCCCTTCCCCCCCTACTCCTCCCTTCCCTTCTGTCGGATTTAATGATACTCTCTGCAGCAACTTTAAACGATATGATTCTTGGAATGTGCTCGATCTGAATGAATGCAATATGTTTGCCCAGCGCAACATTCGAAAAGATAAACGTTTGCGAGTAATCGGAGCCGCGACTATAAGATACATATACATATACTACCTGCCGATTTGACTTGTTTTGAATTTATAGATATTATAAAGTCATTAAAATTCCTTTTAAGATAAGATTTTAAGATAACTTGAGCAGTTCGTTAAAATTTTAACAAATTCTTGTGGTAACTATAAGAAAAAGTGGTTATTCAATTGAAATGGTTTGACTTTTTGGTGGGTTTAAGAAACGATCCCTGCTCGGGCGCCAGCACACAATGCATATAATCTTCTCATGCCGTTAGGTATTGACTAAGTTTAACAATTTGGTTCATTTTCATTTTTAAGTTAAGCCAACGTGTCTTAAAAAGAGTTACATGTCTATATTATCTGGCTTAGTCAGCACAAACTCTATGCTATCGTCTCATGTCGTAAAGTATTACCTAACGTTAACAATTTAGTTAAACTCTAATCAAACCGACCTGTCTTATCGGCCTTATCAAACTGTTATCGGCCTTAGTCAGCACACAATGTACACAATCTTCTAAAGCCATTTAATAGTAACTTAATTTGAGCAATTTGGTTAATTTTCTTTCTTACTTTAAGTCAACGGCTAGTTAAAACAAATAGCATGTAAGATTTGTCCCACTATGGCTTAAGTCTCTTACTAGAAAGATGTCTACGGGTCACATTTACTTAAGAAGAGAAGAAATCGGTTGGGTTTGATCTATAAAAACGACACAGAACGTTTTGCAGGCAATGTCCCTGCTCGGACGCCAGTTCGAAGTCAGTTTTAAACGGTCTTTCAGCTGGTTTTCTGATTTATCTTGCATTTAATTATAAAACAATTAATCTTTTATAAACAGACAGATGTATTTAAATATTGTCCCTAATCGAGCAATCCTTATCAATCACATGCTTCTTTATTGCCCAACATTATTATTATTATTATTATTATTATTTTCTCACGAGATCAATAGACTCCTGCGCTTTCACAATTTTTAAAATTCAAATGCCCATTATTTTGGGCATATCACCGACAGCTCGGAAAGACTTAATAAAAAATTCGAAACGAAAACATTTTAATTGTTTACATTAATTTTGTTTGTGGAATTATTTGAACTGGTGGCAACTTCCACGTTGTAAATTCATTAATTGTTGTGGCGCAAGTCGCGCAATTCAAATGCATTTTCACAGCTTAAATTTTTCAATGATTGTCTGTGGTATTTTTATGATTGAAAAAAAAACAAAATAGGCGAAGAAAAAAGCACACCTTAATGAGCTTTTAATTTAGTAATTAGTTTGGGCGCTGCAGCATTTCGATTTGTTTTTAGAGATCAGAGCAAATAAAAGTATCTATGCGCCGGGGCCCAAGTATCTCATGGATACAAAGCCAACAAAATGCTGCGCGCCGTGTGATTTACGGCCATGTCACACAGCGCATAAAATCGATCGATTAAAACTGGAGAGATTCTCGCTGCGAGCGTGTAATTGTATCCGTGTGTGCGTGTGTGTGTAGCTTTTGGTGTGCGTATTTGTATAGCCTTGTGGTTTTTGCTGCTGTTGTGTTTGTGGCGTCGCTTTCATTGATGTTGAGGTTGTTTCTTGTGCCCCTCTGTTTATGTTGTTTTTTGTTTTTGTCTGCCGACTGTCTGGTGAAAATTGTGCGACATGCGAAAGAGATTTGGTGACAGCGGCGCCACCTAAAAGTGCGACGGAAGCTCTAGAACACAATGATTTACAGCATCAAATGAAGTGAGAAGTGAGAAAGATAGTTCTATTAAGGGTATTCCGTTGGGCAGGCAAATCATTTAGAATAACGTAAGAATATAAATTCTACTTGGTATCTCTTTAGGTTAAGTAATTGTTGAAAAAGGAGTCTACATTCACTTTTTAGTTTAAGTTCTTCTACTTTTCCATTCTATTAATCGATAATAGTAATATAATAGTTATCGATTGACGATTATAGATAAGTATTTATATTTTCATATACTCCATGCACGACTTGAGCTTGAATATCCATATTAGAACAATAATTGTCCACTTTAGATGTATACATAAATCAATAAGTTATCAACACTAGTCGATAAATTATCGGTCATATACAACCAATGCACTTAGATCGATATACAATAAGTACTTATAATATAATATAATATATATACTCGATTCTCGATTTGGGCTGGTATATCCATATTAGAACAATAATTGTCCACTTTAGAATCAAATACGAATCAATAAGTTATCAACACGAATCGATAAATTATCGATAATATACAACAAATGCACTTAGATCGATATGCAAGTATTCGATTTATTGCTATTGAAATATAGAGCATTCCTCTGAGAATTCCTCAACTGTGGCATAAACGATTTGGTTTGGGTTCATTGCAAATTCAATTTCTGCATTATGTGTGGTGCGACATATTTTGCGCCCCGACTTCCAGGAATTCGCTAAGCAAACAAACAAACAGTCAAGTTGCAAAGAGAGGGCGGGAGGCAGAGGCAGACAACATGTTGCCGAGCTGCGGATAGAACCAGCC